TGCTGGGCCATGGAGTTCCCAGAGTTAATGGTTCTTAGAAATGACTCTCCTTCTCCCTGTGTTAAACTGCTTGTGCGCATGAGATGACGACTGGATCCACCTGTCAGGCATGATTTATGTGGATCTATAGAAAGCAAAAGGTCTTCAGATGACACTGAAAATGCAGGGGGTCCAGCATCCTTCTCAGAGCTCTGTCAGTACCTAATAGGTTGTGTGAAGTTCATGTTCCTGTTTATCTTGCATCTGCTCAGAATTGAATCTTCCTGAAGCTCAGGTGCAGTGATGCCCAGCCCTTCTCCAGACTCTAAAGTTTCTAATGGTTTCCAGTTACCCACAGAGTTGTCCAGATTTCTTCTCATGACATTTACCTTCCTTTGTAATCAGTGTCCAAAATACCTAGCAGGCCTGATGTCCTGTATCCCCTGCACTCACTCTGCCCTGTAGTCATCGAGTAGTGCCTGCGATTCCCAGGAAACGTCAGAATTTTATCTCTCTTTTGCTACTGCAATTCTTTCTGTACCGTATGACCTCACCGTTTTGACTCTTAAAATTTTTTTAAAATAAAAAACCCCCATCTTCCAAGAAATGTCTGCAATTTTATCTTTCAATCCTTTCAAAATGTTTATTTGTACTATTCATTCGATGGATCCAGCCTAGGCTTCTGGAATGACATTTATAAATGAGAGCTGTGCTCATGAGACTGCTCAAAACCTTCCACCACCTTTCTGAGGCCGGAAGAAAGGTCAGCAATTCTTTGCATGACATCAAGACTCTCAGATTCCATCTTCCTCTCTACTCATTTGCTGGGTTTTCTACCCTGAGGTCCCAATCTTGGGAATGCTACCATCAGTTCTTCTTCTAGCACTTGCCTTTTGTTCTCATCTGTGTATCATGATTTGTTGCTGGTTGTGTGTGTGTGTGTGTGTGTGTGTGTGTCTATATGTCCATATCCCTTCTAGACTGAACCCCCCATGGCTAGCACCTATTTTGTTCATCCTGTAGGCTTTTAAAGGACTAGCACCACTTCTTCCTATAGTACATGCCCAATAAATATTTGCTGGTGGGTGAATAATGAAGGAGAGGGACAGAGCAGAGAGCAGGTGACATGTCAGGAAATGTACTTCTAGAAACAGATTTCCCATCCTGAAGCTTACAACCAGGACCTAGCTGAGGGTGATAAGAATGAGTGTTCTTTAAGTCCCATTTATCTGATATATATGTGGATCACCTCAAGGTTAGATACTAAAATGTACTATTAAATACTGATCCCAGAGGAAGAAATGCAAATTAATGCTGAACTAATCCCTACTGGGGAGATATTAAGCTTGGTTGGGCTAGTTTTCCGTGGTTTAATGAGCTGCAGAGGAGGACACCGCTCTTCCATTTGCTGCCCCACGCTTGAAGTCACAACCCTGAGACAGCCAGACTTCATCAGTGTTTAAAGTGAAGACTGGTGAGTTCCCAGTCAGCAGAAAGAGGCCACTGAATGTCAGGCACAGGGAAGAGCATCGTTTCAGCCTGGGCCACTGAGACATTTTCAGCAGATGAGCATTCCTGGGTGACATGGCTGTATTCAAAGGGCTGATTCTGCTTTCTGCACATTTGCTGGATGAATGGTTCATAAGGAGCTATGGGTCACACGAAGAGCAGTTTACTGTGTCCCTCACATTTATATAAAAGTTTATGGCTTTTCCTTAAACAAATTTTCTTCGATCATTATGAAGTGATATCAAAAAGGTTGATAAAAGGGAATTATATCTGTATTCCTACACACAGATAATTATTAAATTTGTGCTGGTTTTTTATGTCTTACTATGACTGCATGATTTCTAGTAGTTGAGGACATAGGGAATATTCTCCTTTACCACTCATCATTAAACACAAGCATTTCCTTATGTCAATATGTAGTTGCTTTATTAGACTCTTTGATTAAGGTAAAATTTATGTATAGTAAAATTCACTCTTGTTTAGTGTAGAGTTCTGTGAGTCTGACAAATGTCTATAGTCAGATAACCACCAACAGAATTAAAACATAGAATAAACAAAATGAAAAGTGTCAGAGGTGCATAGGACACCCCCTGAAAGACCTCCCAGTAGTCACAGCTGGAACAATTTAAGCAAGAAAGAAAATGCTGAGAGCCATAGCCGAGTAGGAATGACGCACGGCATTTTTGGTTGAAAGGTGACACCAGCAAGCCATTGAGATGATAATGGTTATGTTAAGATGTATATTCAATTGGATATTAGACCCCTGCTGTCCGCCTCAGCCTGCTACTTTGGAGCTCTCGCGGGGACTCCCGGAGAGTTCCCATTGGTTGGGGAAATGCGGTAGGAGGGATTTCCGGAGGAGGGAGTTCCTGTTGGTGTGGTGTGTCCCGGGAGAAGTCCGCACGTGCGTGGCATTCATGGGAGTTTTGGAAATAAAGTTTATTCCTGCTTGAGTGGCTCGTGATTTTGTGCCCAGCCAGACTGCAGCAAGAAAAGACAAGAATATTGGGTTATAGGCCAAAGTATAAAAGAGATCTGTACTGACATGAAACAAGTGATGGAAAAATTTAATAAATAGGGGAGGAGGGATGAATTTCCCATGCAGAAGGATTTCAAATAAAGTATTTAGAGAGTATTCCCTAAGGAGGGGATCATAATTGCCCACTCTTTAAGTATGAGCTGCACATGTTGGCTTCCTTCCAAAGTGCATAGTATGGAAAGGGACAGTGGTAGTGAATAAGAGTAGGTTAAGGTTGAGACATCTGACAAATACTGCCACAGCCACGTTGTCAAGGTCCAGGCCAACAGTCAAAAATCACACTGATTGCATGTACTCCTGATATGATGTGATAAAAGTGACATTTTAGCTCCGTGATCTGACTTGTATAACCAAGTCTAATCGTGAGAAAAACATCTCCCAGAGAGAGGCAAACTCCGATAAAGAGGTGTCCTAAAATATACCTGTACTACTCAAAACTGTCAAGCTCATCAAACACCAGGGAAGGCTGAGAGACTGCACAGCTGAGAGAAGCCCAAGGAGACCGGACGACTCATATTACGTAATGAATTTGAGGGGCTCCTGGAAAAAACAAAAAATCATTAGGTAAAAATAAGGAACTGGGGATAAGCTGCAGACTTGGTTGATAGTAATCTATCAATATTGGATTATTAATTGTAATGAATATACCATACTAAAGTAAGATGTAATAGAAGAAATTATCCATAGCTCTATGCTGTGGATAGAGCTCTATGATAAATGCTCAGTTTCTCTGTGAGCCTTAAAATATTTTTTAATTTATCAATTAAAAGAACCCTGCCAAATTACTTTCCCAAAGGTTGTATTGTTTGGCATCCCTACCATCAATGCCTGAATGTTTCATCTGCTCTGCGTCATCACTAGCATGCCATTTATTAATGTGATTAATTTATTTCATTTTAATCACATGAATAGACATAGTACATCTATGAACATAGTACATCTATGAAACTAAAAAGTTTCTGTTGATATCTTTTGCCCAATTATCTTTTTTTTATTGTTTTCCAATCTTTGAAGTTTGACAGTTTTTCATGTATTGTGAATATGAGTTTTTTATCAGATGCGCACCTTGAAACTTTCATGCAATCTTGTTTATTCTCTTAACGCATCTTTTGAGGAGCATAAATTCCTAATTTTTATAAAGCTCAGTTTACCAATTTTTCTTTTATGGATTGTGCTTCTGATGTATTCTGATGTATAAAGTTTTTAGAGAGTCTGCCTTAGAGGAGGGGAGCATAATTGCCCACTCTTTAAGTATGGGCGGCACATAGTCCTTTATCTAATTCATTAATCCTTTATCTAATTCAAAAGCACAAAGATTTTCTCTTAGAAATTTAAAAATTTTATATTTAAGTTTGTGATCCCTTTTGAGTTAATTTTTGTATATATTATGAATTGAAGCTATTGGTTTATTTATTTATTTTTGCACATGGAATTCAGTGGTTCCAGTGACATTTGGTGAGAAGATTATTCTTTCTCCATGGAATATCCTTTATATATTTCTCTAAAACCAGTTGATCATATACATATGGGTTATTGCTGGACTGACTGCTCTTTTCCTATTTGTTTCATTTACTTATTTGTCTCTTTCTGCCAATACCTGTCTTGATTACTCTAGCTTTTAAGCAGTTCTTACAATCAGAGAACACCAACTTTCTTCTTTTTAAATAATGCTTTGTCTGTTTGGGTTCCCTTGCTTTTCCAAGGATATTTTAGAATCAGCATGTTGATTAAATCCTGCTGAGATTTTTTTTGATTGGAATTGCACTGAATCTATAGGTCAGTTTTGGGGAGATTAACGTCTCTCCAGATTTGTATGCATGGCTATCACTCCATTTAATTAGTTCTCCTTGGTTTAATATGCGCTTTGTACTTTTTAGAGTAGAGTTCTCACAGTCTTCTGTTAGATTTATATTTAAACATTTTCTACTTTTGATGATAATGTAAATGGAACTTTCAAAAACAATTCTCTAATTGTTCATTGCTAGTATAGAGAAATGCAACTGATTTTGTGTATTGACTTTATACCCTGCAACTTTTCTAGTTCTGGAAGTCTTTTTTGTGGAATTATTGGAGTTTTCTGTGATTAAAAACAGTTTTATTTCTTTCTTTATAAACTTTGTTTTCCTTTTTCTTTTCTTGCCTTATTATTACTAACACTTGGAGGATGGTGAAGTGTAGAATTAATGAGAGCATGCATCTTGTCTTGTTCCCAATCTCAGGGGAAAGGGATTAGGTTCTCAACATTTTGGGGGGATGTTTTATCTTATTTTAGCCATATAGATAGGTATACTATATCTTCCCTTCAATATTTAGTGTGTTGTTAGTTGTAAGTTCTCGAGGGATGCTTTTTATCAGCATTCGGAGGGTTCCTCAACCTAGATGCCCTTCAATAGGTGAATGAATAAAGAAACTGGTATATATACACAATTGAATGTTACTCGGCATTAAAAAAATAAAATTATGTCATTTGCAGGGAAATGGATGGAGCTGGAGAAAATCATGCTAAGCAAAATAAACTGATCCTCAAGAACTAAAGTCTGAATGTTCTCCGTGATAAGTGGATGCTGATCCATAATAGGGGGAGGAGGCATTGGAAGAATGGAGAAACTTCGAATTGAACAAAGGGTGGGGAGGGGAGGGGAGGAGATATGGGGGTAGGAAAGATAGTGGAATGAGAAGGACATCATTACCCTAGGTATATGTATGTCTGTACAAATGGTGGGACTCTACATCATGTACAACCAGAGAAATGAAAAGTTGTGTTCCATTTGTGTACAATAAAATGAAATGCATTCAGCCATCATGTATAACTAGTTAGAACAAATAAAAAATTAAAAAAAATAATTAGGAGGGTTCCTTATAGTACCAGTTTTCTGAGAATTTTTATGATTAATAAGTGTTACATTTAGTAACACAGGGCTTTTCTGGGTCTGTTGAGATGGCCACATGATATTCCCTCTTTCATCTCTTCATATGGTGAATTATAGTGATTGGTTTTTCTAAGATGAACGAGTCTGAATACCTTCTATAAATCCTATTTGATTATGACATATTATCCTTTTTTGCATATTATTTTTATTAGTTGAGGGACTTTGTGTCTATGTTCAAGAGGGATATTTGTCTGTAGTCTTACTTTCTTGTAATACTTTTGTCTAGTTTTCATATCCAATCAATAGTTGTATAATAAAACATGTTGGGAAGTATTATCTCCACTTGTACTTCTGGAAAAAATTGTGAAATTGGAATTATTTCTTCATTAAATATTTGGCAGAATTCACAAGTAAAATCCCCTGTGCCTGGAGATTTCTACTTGTTTGTTTTTTATTTTTTTAATCACAAATTTAATTTCTTGTAGAGTATGAACTGATCAGGACCTCTCTAGTTGAATTTCCATCTTTCAAGGAATTTGTGCATATCATCAAAATTATTGAGATTATGGGTACAGAGCTATTTCTGGTATTCTCTCATTGTATTTTTAATATCTGCAATGATATTTTCTCTTCCAAAAATTTGTAATTTTTGTGTTCTCTCAGTTTTTCTGGGCAGGATGGCTAGCGGTCTATCAGTTTTACTGTGTTTGGCAAACCACCAGCTATTGGTTTTATTGTTCATGCCTGTTGTTTATCTGTTTTCAAGGTCACTCATTTCTGTTCTCTGTTATTTCCTTTCTTCTGCTTGCTTTGGATTTGTTTTGCTTCCATTTGTAGTCTCTTATGGTAAAATTTAGATCATTAATTTGAAACCATTTTTATTTCCCAGTGCAAGCTTTTATTGCCAAAAATTTCCCTCAAAGCATGGCTTTTAGTTAGTTTCACAAATTTTGATGTGCTGTGTTTCTATTGGTACTCTCAATCTAATTATCAGAAATCCTTTAAGCAGACATTAGAATTGCCTTGCAGGGTTTTTTAAAAAATGCCAATATTCACCACCCTTTCCCAAAACATGTGAGTCGGAAAATCTGCTAGCGGGCCCTAAGGGTTGTTTTGCTATAAAAAATCCCCAGGATATTCTAATATTTGCTCAAGGCTGAGAATTCCTGCTCTAATCTTACTGAAAGTGACTCCCAAACTATTATGTACCAATTTTCACCTGATTCTTGTTCAAAATGCATATTATTTACCCATCCCTAGATTTTTTTTTTATTCATCAGGTATATAGTTGTCTGTGGAAACACAATTTAAAAAATAATTTATGCAATTCTGGTGTAAGTGGGCCTCAGATTACATTTGTGAAAATCTGCTTTAGAAATCTGTAAAATAGGCAGTGAGCTTCTGTGGTGGTCCCAGCTGTATGTTTTCAAGGAGCAAAAGCCAGCCAGGTACTGTTAGCACCCTTGGAGAGGGTGCCCTCTCCCTCTGCCATGGTGGTGCAGGACAAGCCTATGGTACAAGCAGGTCTTCTGTACTGGGACACCTGGGGTAGCATCAGTAGTGCTACTGCTGCCCTGAACATCACTTCCAAGGCCAGGTAAATGACCTTCACAGATTTCTGGCCTTTATTCATGTGGTTTGCTCAACCTAAATGCCTCCCTCTCCTTTGCCCCTCACTACTTCACTCATCCCTGCCATGTCACTCAGGAAGCCTTCTCTCACCCATCCTCCAAGACAAGAAGTCTCCAGACCTCTCCAGTTCCAGATGAGGGGCTTGTCCTCAGGACCTAAGAGCCTCTCTCAACCTTACTTTCAGGACTAATCATTTCCTTGCTCACCTGGATTCCCTGCCAAGCCCCTGGAGAACAAGTCTGGTTTTGTCTAACTTCGGGGTTTTGCTAAGGCCTGGAACACAATAGACCTTCCATAAACATGGGCTGAGCTGATCTAAATCAGGTGCTCTGCAAAGGCGGGCTCTTCACGGTTTCACCTTCCCACTGGTTCCAATTTAGTGCGCCATCACAATAGGGGCCTTCCATGTATGTGCTCCTGACCACCTAATCTATGTCTGGATGTCGCAGGTGGATGAGCAGAGGCTGGCTGTCCAAGTCTCCAGCCTCAGGTCTGCAGACAGAAATGACGAGGAGATTGTTTGCCCGAATGACCAGAAAGAAAGAAAGATGGAAAAAGCCAAGAGAGATGCAGAATGAGGACACAAAGGCCTCATAGAGTCTTGAATCCCTGAAGAAAAACTCAAAGTATTGCTTATTAGATTCTAATCATACGGAAATATTCAAACCAACTTCCAGGCTGAGCAGAAGAGCCTTAAAATCAGAGAAGGACTTTAGTTTCTTTAGAAAACAGGGTACGTGAGAATATTTTTAACATTTCAGTTAATAGGTTAATGTTATGAATGTAGGTCGAATAAATGTAGTTGTGTAAAGAAGTATTTAAGCTGATGCCAACAAAGATGTTTAATCTCCCTGAAGGAAACTTAGTTTTGAGGCCCTTTAGAAACATCCATTTACAAGTAATCAAATTGATAAACACAGTATTTCTCAATGTGCCTCCCAGGGCACTTGTTTATCACAGCATGTTGTATTTTGCTGTAGGCACTAGTAAATAACAAAATTGCTTTTCTTTAAGAAATAATAGAAATCCACGCACATTCTCCATAGTTATTCAAAGCAGAAATAGTTTTTTAATACATAGAAATAAGTGCATGAGTTATTTTTTAATTTAAAGAATCAAATTATGTCCTATTGGGTGTAACACCAGTTAAAGAGCAGATAATATAATTGTCTTTTTGTGAGTAGGAGAGAACTGTGTGGAATTCATTGGCTAAGACTGCATTTAGTCAATCAGAAATATTTATTGAGTACCTACTATGTGTCAGCCACTGTTTTAGAGGTTGACTCTGCTGAATAATGATACAAGATGATATTATAAAACATCATGGTGAAGTAGAAAGAGCTCTGAACAAGGAAATCTGATTTTAATTCTGTGAATTCCTTGGGCAATTCTTTGCCCTCTCTGATCCCTAGTTTGCATGTGTGAGAAAGGGAGATGATGGGATTGGACTGCATGTTTTCCAGGGTCCCTTACATCTGTCATCTAGGTCCACTGGGTGACTGAAAAATGAAACTTTGCAAAGGCGATTTCAACATGGGAGGAGTTTGACACATTAAGTTCAATATACAAACAGGTTGAGGAAGCTGCTTATGTTTCTGGCATAATGGATAGAGTGTATTCTTAATGGTTTTTGAAGGGGGTATGGGAAAGTAGGTGGAAGGTGAATGGAAAAGCCATGAAAAAAATTACTTGTGAGAATTGGGTCTATTTCTGTATGTGTGTACTATCATAGCAGTGAGCTGTAGTCAAAATGAGCACAAAATTGGAAGTCAGGCTTAATGTTGGCTGCATAGGGCATCAGGAAGAGGAAAGCTTTGTGATAGTCCTGGAGTTGATATTTCTCTGCCCCACTCAATTGTTAGCTCCCTGAGGTCTCCCTTTCTTATTTTTAATGTGTATGAGGTTGGGAAGTGTACAACATCTTCAGATAGCAATTGATGCACAGAGTATGTGAGATAATAAATGTTAATACTTAATGTAATGCATGACACTGAGAAAATTCTAGAATGTCAATTTATTTTCTTTCTGATGTAAAAGTACCATGATCTAGCATTTTCTTTTTTTATGTTTTTCTTAGTGCATTATAATTATACATAATAGGATAACCCTACATAATAGTAGGGTTCATTGTGACACTCTAATTCATGCCCCAGAGTTTCCACATTCCTTTTCCACCTCCTTCTCCTGTTCCCCTTCTTCTATTCTTCTGGTCTTCCTTTTATTTATTTACACATATATTTTTCCAAAGGAAATGAGATCAGCATACTATATGCATTTCAATGTTTCTAATAGTGCAATTCACAATAGCAAGGTTATAGAATCAGTCTAGGTGTCTGTCAACAGATGAATGAATAAAGAAAATGTGGTACATATATACAGGGTATTTCTACTCAGCAATAAGGAAAATTGAAATTATGTCACTGTGGATAAATGGATCATAATTAAAAAAAGGATGGGATAGTAATTTAAAAAGGATGGAGATCTCATGAAAATAGAATGTGTTTCAGTAGAGGAGAAGTTTGGGGTCAAGGAGGAAGGCAGAAGGGAGGGATAGGAGAAGAACTGGGAAATAAAATCAACTGAATTATGCTAAATACATGCATGAATATACCATAATGTTTTCCACTTTTACGTATAATTTAAACACATCAATGGAATTTTTTAATCGTAGGGCCAAACTGTGACCACCTGTTACTTTAGAATTATTCTCTATGATGACTTTTATTTTTGCTTTCTGGTACTGAAGTATGCATTCTCTTTTCCCAGAGATTTCCAAGTACAGACTTTTAATTGTTTTCCTCCAGCACCCAATATTCCCTTTGCAGAGCATCATCTACCTGTGTCAGTTTTCTTCCTAGTGTACAGTTGTGATTATGTTGCTCCTTGCTCAACCTCTGCAGTGGCTCCCTACTGCTTACAAGCAAAACCCCAACCCTGTGTAAGCTCGCTGTGACTCAGACCCATGTGCTTTTATATCCTCATCTTCTCACATCACATCACTCCTTGCACATTGCCCTCCACCCCAGTGGTTCTCAAATCTAAGTGTGCTTTAGAGTCACCTGTGTGGCTTGCTCAAGCTCACCCTTCTGGCCCTGTGCCCCATATTCT